TGTGGGGGAGGGAAGGGAGGCAGGAACCAGTTTCTGCCAATACTATCAAATCCAAGTGCTCACCGCTTTTGTTTAACTTGGACTTCAACTTCCAAGGATCTATCTTTAGAAGCCCTCTGCATCATCCCTTTGCTCATCTTACAGAAATATTCCCGAGTCATTCTGAGGAAGGCCTAAGAGTGATAAACCACCTGCTTTTCTCAATTGTCAGGATATTTTCAGGAAAATATTTTTCCTTGCACTTGGTGGTTGATTCAGAGACAGCAAGGCAGGAGATATGTTTGTCAATTACCCCCTTTGTTCTGAACATGAAATCACTGAGCAGCCTTCTTTCCTTCTCAGGAGTTAAAGAAACTGACAACACTACTAATAAATACAATGCAACAAGAAAAAAAAAGAGAAAAAGGATTAGGTGCCCGAGTACTACAAACAGGCACTGGAGCCACATGGCAAGCCTTGAACAAGGCAAAGAACTCAACCACAAAACAATAATAGTTAATAACCTGGACCTGACCAGAGGGCAGGCACATGGTTAAGTATACTCAATGAGATGAATAGAAAAGTCTAAAAAGCAGCTGGAAAGGTCCAGCTCTTACAAAATAAACTCCTTTATTAACAGGTGCCAAGAAGAAATCGACTAGAACAGTTCGAAGATGCTGAACAAACTCAGGGAGAATAGAATGGAATCAGCCAGGAGGACTGGCCCTCAGTTCCTCTGGTGACCATCCTTAAGGACTTAAAAAGCTTCAAGAGATTGTGTGTGGTGCTACAGAGAAGAGACCCAGGCATGAAAATCCTGGTGCAGGACATATTTAGAGAAATACAACTAGCACAAGTCTGATTTAGAAGCTTAAGTCTCCATAAAACCAAGATGACTCCATAACAAAATAAAACATCCATGTCTAACGTAAGTGCTGAACCAACTTGTTCACCTACAGATTTCTTCTGACAGATTTCAGTCAGGTCTGCTGTTCCAAAGACTGTTACTACTGGAGAGAGATGCACTCATTTCAAAAGAGCTGATGACCATTCTGTTACTATTACTACATTAAGATTTAAAGATCATAAAGTAGTATCAGGAATCCACCACACTACATTTGTATAGACAAACAACAAAGGAAGTCCCCATTTGCTTGGCAACATATCAGAAACTGTCTCCCCCTAGGATCCTTCAATAAAATAACAACAACAAAAAAATAGTATTGTCCACCAAGGTAATTACACTTTTTATTAAGCTTCATCAATATAACTGCAAAAAGTTATTACATTCACCGCATAGCAAATTGCACTTAGAATGTTAAAATGTGAGATACAGACAGAGAAAACTAAAGCCAAAATTCTATTTCCCTCTGTGCACCTAAATACCAGTTTTCTAGCTGTTCATTTTTGGTGTGTGTATAGACTGAGCATGTGGAGGCTACTCAGTTGGTTGGGCAGGCACACTGCTACACATGTGCAACCATTCTTAATGTTCAAGTGTGTGAGAGTCATAAAAAGGTAGTGGACCAGAAACCACTTATTAACATATTAGGTGTCAGAGGAGGAGCATGCAGCTTCCCCAGCTTTAGCCCTAATAGCCGAGTAGCATAGGTACTTACCCAAGAAGCAGAAGACCCAGGTTCTAGGCTCTTTTCACTCAGAGGTTTTAAATTGCATCTCTCTGACTTCCCAGCACAGTGCTCTAACCACAAACATCACAAGTTAAGCATTAATTAGTCCCCTCTCCAGTATTCCTTTTGAACCCAGTTCCCTCTGCAGCCAAGAGGGAGATATGTGGGACCAGGAGAAAGAGAAAAAGTTAGAGGTTGTGGGGCTCAGTGAAACTGGTGTTGCCCTGGATAAGAGGGACCCCAGGTAAAGCACGAATGTCCCAATGGGACAGAAACTTCCCCAATCCACAGCTTTCTGGGACAGTGGCTCAAATTTCAAGAGTGCAGGAGAGGGGACTGGATAATACCTAACATGTGGTTAGGAAGTCAGAGAGACTCAAATTCAAACCCCCGCTGGGTGAGGGTGGCCTGGAACCCAGGTTTCCCCTTTCTGGGAAAGTACCCTAACCACTCAGCTATTAAGGCTAAAAATACTGGAAGTCCCCCCTTCTTCCCTCAGCACTTCCAAACTTTTTCAGACTTATGTTTAGGTATATGCTTGCATGGCTGGGTATATGCCCAAACAACGTGCAGGTTACTACTGCACATATTCAAATTATGCAAATGTGCTTATATATAACATAAAGCAGGAAAGCATAAAAAAAATTTTAAAAAAAAAAATCAATCCTGGTACGAGACTAGAAAATGGTCATCTAGGCATACTGGGGGAACAGAATTCCACCCTGAATGTAAAGCTGGGAACAGTAACCAGGAATTCCTATAGCCTCTAGATTACACTGTTTTACACCTGAAAACTATGAAAAGAATCATAAAATATGAAAAAAAATGGGTGCCTGTTTCATACAAATACAAAATGTTCTCTGTACAATACTGGACATGTAAAGTGAGTCAAGTATTTCCTTGAGACACTTCTGTCCAACAAAAAAAAAAGCCAAGGAGAACTTTCCATAAAGCTTAAAGAGTATAACATATCTTCACACACAAATAACAATTCTCTTCAGAAATGCAAGCAAAGAAGTGGAGAAAATTAATGTCCAACCATAAGATTGTTTTAAAACCTATACTAATTTTACCCAGCCCTTCAACATGAAAGGCAAAAGCAATGTGCCACTACGAGCAAACTAAAATAAACTCAAAATCAAGGACCTGACTTTACATGTGTATAACTTGGGGAAGAAATAATTCCAGAGATTTAATTACAAATGGAATTTCTGAGCATGCTGTTGACTCTGGCAATGTAGCCAAGAATATGACATCACTTGCAGGACTATCAGTTTGGGAGCCTAATGGAATAGTGTACTGTAATTTCTGAACATTAAGCACTGGTTTAAAAAAAAAAATCAGAAGAAAATCAGAATGTTTAAGTGTTAATCAAAAAGCAATCCTTGTAAATATTCCAATATTGCTCTCATATCAAAAAAAATGACATAACATCAGTTTGGAAGTTACACTATATTCCAGTATGAAATTCATAACCACTGCCACACTCCTCTCTCTAAAACTTGCAGTCTAATAAGAATTGTGTACTCATTTGATAAGCCTATTGCTAGCAAGGAAATCTGAAAGAATTTGTACAAAGAACTTCAGGTAAACTGGTTAGCGTTTGGACACTTAATTTCTATAATAGAACATAAGTCCTTCTTGTCATGCAAAGACAATTATTTATTGTTTATATGCATTAACCAAAACCAACATCTGATTATTGTTCAGTTTGAGCCCATACCTGCAGTCATGACACCACTGAATAACAATGCAAAAGTCAGTGCGAAGGTCCAGTATTAATTTCCACTTAACAGTACTCCTCAGGAGACTTTTAATGTTTACCAGCTCCACTGAGAATTATGCTGCGCCAGTTTAGCTTCCACTTACCATGGGATAGGAATGATCACACTAAAGTTACAAAAGAATGGCTCATACACAGAAGTCCTCACACCCTTTTAGTATGGTAAAATATGTTGGTCTGTCATTATCCAAACTCGCCTTTAAATGAACAAATGCCAAAAAGGTAGATGTTACCTATTTGAATTTGGTACCACTAAATCTCCAACTTTTGCAGGCAATTTTCTTATGGATACCAATTTTCATCTTTTTTACCATATATATGCTATGCTACACGGTACCATAAACCTCAGAAAATGGTGGCAAGCAAGATGATACAACAGGATGTGGACAAATGTGGGGAAAGATTAAGCATCAAAACAAAAGTAAATGCTGCACAGGTGCTATTTTAAGGCTACATTGTATTACTAACACATCTGAAAAACCTCATTAGGTCTAGTCCAGTATTTTTTAGCTCAACAGTTTAGCACTGGAAATGTTTGTCTGCATCTCAGTAAATATTTAATGCTACTGTACTTTATCAGAACAACTAGAATTCTAGGCATGAGGGAGCTTCTGTTTTGAACTGCAAGTCAGGATTTAAATGCCTCAGCAGAACTGTTTGTAAAAGCCTGCACACTCATTTTCATCAAATGCATTCATGAACAAGTCTAGGATACTTTCTTACAGCTTCTTGCCTTAGAAAACTACCTAAAGCAAAGGTAATTAACCGGAAATGCATTGCTTAGATACTGTGGGGATGACTGAAGTATATACATCTACACTGACAAGATCAGACAGATAGCATCAGACTGTTTACACAGTGACCCAGCTTTAACAAGTCTGTTTTATCACAGTTTAATTTATGCATTAAAATGATGCACATCTTGACATGTCTTATTGCTATTACAAACTTCATTTATGAAACGATCCCCATTTAAATGGCACTTAAATAAACACTTCAGTCTCCCCTTTCTGGGGTGGGGAACAAACATTTTTAATATGAACAAACGTTTTACTTAATATGAAGGGGAAACAAAAGCTAATTTCCATCATCTCTTCTTCCTCCAAACAAAAATAATCTCCACAGATCCTATTACTATGGAAAAATACTTTAAAACAACAGAAACGGAGAATGAGTTTTCTTTAGGTTTTTTTCTACGTTTCATTTTACTTATATACTGTGACATTAATTTTCTTAAAAGATTTTCATTTCAGACTATATCTGATTAAATATTAGAAACTAATATCCTGCCTATCATACAGCTGAAACAGTAAATTCATTTGGAAGATGACAGAAGAAGCTAGGGTGGAACCAGGACAGAGTCCGAGACTACAGGTAGGTGTGTGCACAATGTCATGCTGAAAGCAACATGATTTGCAGCATTCATTATGCAAGTAACTGTCTTTGGCAATATATTTAATTTAGAGTCCATAAACATGTTTTCTGAATTTGAATAAGAGGCTTTGAAGTAGTTGATAGGTACCACAATAGTTGATGACACACAAAAATGAGCACCATTTTCCCCCCACAGAGTGAACAGAAGATGAGGTAGAGGAGACCCCCCTTACCTTTTTTCATTTCCATATGACTTCTGTGCAACTTTTGCATGGAGGATTAGTACTGTTTGATCACCCCTCTCCTTCAAATAATTTCGCATAGCTTCCCTAAAAAGTAAAATGGAATTAGGTTTTGAAAGGAGTGTTGTTTTATTTTTTAAAATGGATATAATCATCTATGTAGAACTTTTAAGACAAATAAATACAACTGAGGTTGAAAGGATGCAGAATAGAAGACAATTCAACACACTCAAATAATAATAAACAGGGTCTGAATTAAGTGTTTTAAAAGTAACTACTACGCAAAAATAACTCTGTATTTAATTTGTACCCCATAATTACATATTATATTATAATAGATTAAGGCCATCTTGCTCTCTTCTCCAGCAGTTTTTGGTTGCCTTCAACAAACCTGATGATTCTGTAAAAGAACACTGGTGTTTATTTCAACAATCGAATCAAACCAAGGACACTGTGCTCTCACCGTTATAACAAATATTTTGCTACACGCACTGATCTGAAACACACTTTAAACTAATATCCCTTCATTTTATCCAAGGTTTACAACTCCTAAAGCAAGGTGCTTACACGACATGCCAAGGTTCAGAAAGATTTCTTGTGCTATCATTAAGTATCACATTGGTTTACTAGTATACGAGAAAAGATACCTTCAGACCCCAAAGAAAAAATGTAATTTAAAAATGCTCGCATATGTCTAAACTGATATTTGCTTACTCACCTACCAAGGAAAGCTTCCTAGTCCCCACAGGGAACCAGGCAAAATGAATTTTTAAGCTTTGTACTTACTATACACTGATATTCTAGCATTCATCTCTACAATACCAGGAAAACCATATGCAAATTGTCATTGGTCCAAAATATAGACAACCAACCCTGAAGCAATTAGGTACAGAATAATAACAAAAACATTTTTTTTTAGATATATAGGGAGTAAAAGGAACGCCCAGGGTGGAATAGGACCTCTACTAAACAGGCATAAGCAATTGGTGATGGACAGGGGGGATAAGGCTGAACTCCTCAATGAGTTCTTTGCCTCAGTGTTCCTAAGCGAGGGGCAAGACAAGTCTCTCACTGGGATTGTAGAGAGGCAGCAGCAGGGTGCCAGACTACCAAGCGTAGACCCTGAGATGGTGCAGAGGCACTTGGAAGAACTGGATGCATTTAAGTCGGCAGGCCTGGATGAGCTCCATCCAAGGGTACTGAAGGCACTGGCTGACGTCATTGCAC